AGAGCAACATAAGAAAGGAAGAAGCAGGTTTTCACCTCTTGGTACTTAAACATTTGCTACTATCCCCTCTGTGCCAGGGCTGTTATTTCTGGCTCTCAAAGGAAAAAAAATAAAAAAGAACAGTTATGGTGAATATGTATAATATTATCTGTAACTTGATAATATCCAGGCTCTACCTAGGACTTGGAATTTTGGAAACTAAACAACACCCCAGGAGAACACTGCAATCTTACGGTTATGAGCACTGCAACCATGGTATTGGTAGGATTTCTGGTCTTTATTTTGTATTATTTTAGATGTCTTTCTTCAATATTTTATATATCTAAATTCATAATTTTTAAAATACTTTTTATTGATTTTTTTTTTTTTATCCTCACCCGAGGATATTTTTCCATTTTTTGTACAGATAGAATGGGAGGGAGAGAGAGGAAGGGAGAGAGAGAGAGAGAGAAACATCGACATGGAGGGACACATCGAGTGGCTGCCACCCGCACGACCAACCAGGGCCGGGGACAAATTGCAACCGAAGTACATGCCCTTAGCGGGAACCGAACCCGGGTCTCTCCGGACCGCAGGCCGACGCTCTAACCGCTGAGCCAAACTGGCCAGGGCTTATTGATTTTTTTTTTAGAGAGAGAAGAGGGGAGAGAGAGACATCGTTGAGCTCGGCTGGTGTGGTTTAGTGGTTGAGCATTAACCCATGCATGCACCAAGAGGTTGCTGGTTCGATACCTGGTCAGGGCACAAGCTCAGGTTGTGGGCCTGATCCCCAGTGAGGGGCATGCAGGAGGTGACCAATTGATGTCCTCTCTTATCGATGTTTCTATGTTTCTCTCTCTAAAAATCAATAAAGAAAAAAAATTTTTTATAAAAGAAACATTGGTCATCTGCCTCCTGTATGCCCCGCCCCCGGGGGGATCGAGCCCACAACCTGGACATGTGCCCTGACCGGGAATTGAACCTCTCAGTCCATGAGATGACACTCAATCCACTGAGCTGAACCAGCTGGGTAAAACTCGTACTTTTTATGATAAAGGAATTTCTTTCAAAGTTGATTAGGCCTGGCCGGTGTAGCTCAGTGGTTGAGTGTTTACCCATGCACCAAGAGGTTGCCAGTTCAATTCCTGTTCAGGGCACATGCCGAGGTTGTTGGCCAAATCCCCAATGGGGGGCATGCAGGAGGCGGCCAGTCTGTGTTCTCTCATTGATGTTTCCATCTCTCTCTCCCTCTTCCTTCCTCTCTCTCTAAATAATATAGAAGGGGAAAAAAAAACCCCTAAAAAACAAAGTTGATTAGGTGTGGTTTTTTAATATGAAGTGGCTTTAAACCATTAAGTAGTGTTAATGGGGATACTCGTAAAAATTAACTTAAAATATTTAGAAATGTGAAAAATGAGCTCATTGAGTGGCTCAGTGGTTGAGTGTTGACCCATGCACCAAGAAGTCAAATCCCCAATGAGGGGCATGTAGGAGGAGGCCAATCGATGTTTTCTCTCATCAGTGTTTCTTTCTCTCTCTCTCTTCCTCTGTCTCTAAAATCAATAAAGAAAAAAAAAGTTAAAAATAAATAAATGTGCCCATAACTGTAATGCTTATATCTATAGATAAAAGCTGATTTGCATGTATCTTCACATTGCAGAATCACACTGGTGTTCAGAAGAACATACTGACATTGCTCTTCCAACATCCCTCGTTTGAGTTTCATGAAGGATTTTTTTCCCCCACTTCTTGTTTTTCTGTGTATAATACTTTTTCAGATTCTTGGAAAAATAATGAAGACATTTCCTCCAGGTCTACTGATAATCATAGGTGTATACCAAGTGTGAAAGGTGCTCATCAGCATTGTTTAAAAATATACATAAACACACAAAAACGGGCCCCTAAATCAGAGTTCAGAGTTGATAAACGGCAATTTTCCTACCTGTCATTGTTTTAGAGATTTAACTGATTTTATGGACTAATTTAGGCCTAGATAACTTTGGCAGGCTTTACATTTTCAAAATATGCTTTTCTATACTTAAGAGTGTCTATATGATACAAATTTCATACCTTAAATGGAAGTAAAGTAAAATGCCAATTGAAATCTGTTATTGTGGGCTTATCTGCGTCCAGCATGACTGAAAAGGAAAAAAAGGAGGCAAACATAATGATTTTGGATTTGTATTCTACATTATTAGATTTGTCAGATATAAAATTACCCTTTCAGATTGCTATAAACATTTTGAAACACTCTTAAGTTTCTTTAGTTATCTTGTTGTGAACTGGCCATAAATAGGTCACAGACTGGCCCTCCTCTGTGAACCACTTTAAGCATTGGTCTCGATGACTTTAATTTATGCTAACCAGTGCTGACCAGTAAGTGCTATAGATTATTTGGCAGACGGCCTTTTTATTTTTTTATTTTAATTTTTTAAAAACGTATTTATTCTCACCTGAGGACATTTTTCAACATTTTGTTCAGATAGAGTGGAAAGGAGGGAGGAAGGGAGAGAAACATTGACATGAAAGAGATTCATCGAGTGATTGCCACCCACACGACCCAACCATGGTCGGGGACAAACTGCAACCGAGGCACATGCCCTTAGCGGGAACCAAACCCCAGCGTCTCCAGACCGCAGGCCAATGCTCTAACCACTGAGCCTAACCATCCAGGGCAGCAGACAGCCTTTTTAAAAAGGTGATGAATGCCCTGGCCTGTTTGGCTTAGCAGTTTGAGCCTCAGCCTGAGGACTGAAGGGTCTCAGGTTCGATTCCCAGACAAGGGCTTGTACCTGGGTTGCAGGTTTGATCCCTGGGCCTGGTTGGGGTCGTGCAGGAGGCATCCAATCACCATCCAATCACTGTCAGTCGGTCTGTCTGTCTGTCTGTCTGTCTCTCTCTCTCCCCCCCTCCCTTTCTATCTAAAAATCAATGGAAAAATATTCTCAGGTGAGGATTAACAAGAATAAAATAAAATTAAAATGTGATGAACATCATGTCATAGTGCTGATTATTAGTATTTGAACAAGATATTAGGGTTGTCTCAATCACTATAGAGTAGTCAATGTGAGATTTATTTGAGCCCTGGCCAGTTTGGCTCAGCTGTTAGAGCGTCGGCCTGCGATCCAGAGAGACCCGGGTTAGGTTCCCGCTAAGGGCAACTACCTCGGTTGTTGTTTGTCTTTGGCCCTGGTTGGGTCGTGTGGGTGGCAGCCACTCGATGTTCCCTTTCACGTCGATGTTTCTCTCTCTCTCCCTCCCCCTCCCACTCTATCTGAACAAAATATCGAAAAATGTCCTCAGGTGAGGATAAAAAAATAAAATTAATATAACTTTAAAAAAGTTGATTTGATAGTGTCTATCTTAGTATGTCAGGGTTATTTTTATTCTTCAGAACTTCTGGTATAAAGGGAACTACTCTGAAAGAAAGCTTTTTTTCATGGGGAATTGTTTGTAGAATGGATGTATGTGGAAATGAAGCGAGTAGGAATTTTATGTATCTAAGGGAAAAAATACAAAGTGTTTTGTCAAATACTTCTGTTTATTATTTGTCGTTCATTTGAAATATATTTGGAATATTTATTATCATGTGACCTTAGAATATACAATACAACCAGCTTCTTTTTTTATTTATTTTTCTTTATTTATTTTAGAGAGAGAGGAAGTGAGAGGGAGAGAAAGAGAGAAACATCGATTAGAGAGAACATCGATTTGGCTGCCTTCTGCATGCCCCCCACTGGGGATAGGGCCCACAACCTGGGCATGTGTCCTGACTGGGAATTGAACCAGCGAGCTATTGGTGCATGGGTCGATGCTCCACCACTAAGCCACAATGGCCAGATGCACAATCAACTTCTTAAAACTCCAGTTTAAATGAGCCGTGGGTCAAATAATGTTACCTGTAAAATATACTAACACACATGCTTCCCACCCCCAGTTGGAGGAGTTGAGGCACCCTGGTTCCCGTGGAGGCCTGGATTCGTTTAGTTCTGTGGCACCAGCATTATCAAGATTTTCACTGTATTTGGAGGGACATAGTTTTTAAAGAAACTATGTTATTCTATTTCTGTTTAAAGCAACTTTGTGGAAAGCTACGGACTAACCCCTTTTCCTTTGATTTTTCATGTTATAGCAGAGAACCAGGTAGGGCCAGCTTCCTCTGCAGTCACATTGGGCTCTGCTCAGCAGGGTCTCATGCTTAGTTTAATGCTTTGCTGTCAGAATCTTAACATTCTTAATAATTTTATATTTGACCTTGTTTTGTAAATGAAGTCTGATGGGACATTGAAGCCTGTGTCCAGGGTTTGGGTCCTTGGCTCATGTACAGTTCTGCCCCTCTACCTCTCCAGGCCCTGCCCATGTCCACTGTTGGTCTTTACCTGAGGTGGTGACTGGGTGATATTGGGGAGGAGGGGGCCCGTGTTTCTGTCACCTTTTCACTCTCTGTGGGGACATAGGTTCCTTAGGGAGGGTTGGGTCAGGTGTTTGTGTCTTGCAGTGCTGTGGGGAGTAGTGGTGGTAGCCAACTCCATTCCATGCTGGCATGTTTGGTAGGTCAACCTCTAGCTCACCTGGGTACCTAGGATGTCCAGGTGTGGAATTTTAAAGACCTTTGGGCATCACTTATATACCAAGGATTGCTATGGCAGGCCAATGAGCAGGGGAGATCCCTGGCTGCTCTCCATGGCCTTGGTCTAATGGATGGTTGCGAGGGAAAGCTCAGCAGCCATCAGGCCTGAGCATGTACTTGCAGCAGAACCCCCACCTCCAACCCTACCCCCATGAGCACCTGCACTTTTCTCATGAGTATTCTTGTGCCAGAGGAGCACTCCATTGAGTTGGCTGCATGCAGGGGGACACCCTCTGTTCTCCTTCCAATCTTCTTGAGTCTGGCCTGAATTTGTCTCTTCTGACTGGCTCAAGGTACTTCTGGGGATGAACTATGACATACAAATTGTGTAATTTAGGTGATTTTACATGAATTAAGTGCTCTTATATTTGCATTTAAAACTCACATTGCATTCCAAAGTGTTCAGTTCAGGGTAGCTTCCCTGTTCTGTTCGTTATATTTGGGCACATTGAAACACAGGCTGGGGGAGATGATTGGATAGAAAGCATTGCTCTATTCATTTATCCCAGCCTACAAAAATGAAAAAAATAAATAAAAACTGGCATTGCACAGCATAAAGAAGATGGTGACGTTCATGCTAATAATTAAACTTTTTTTTTTTTTTTTTTTTTTTTACTGTGACTGGAGTGTCAGTGGCCTCTGTGTTGATTTATTTCAAAGAGAAAGATAAGCTCTTTTTTATATTTGGATCAAACAAACATGCAGAAATCTGACGTGTGATAAAATAGACCTGTGAAGTTTTCTGATCAGAAGAGTAATCCCACTGAATATAATATTCCCACTATATATAGTACATTCTGCCAGAACACATCTTTACTATGCTAAGCATGTGGTTTTTATGTGTACATGTAATGCCAGGAATAATTTCTTCTCCAAACTGAGTTTCCTACCTGTCCCTGTGTTTGTCAGCTTCCTGGTGTCTGACCTTTTGACTGTGGCTTGCCCTTATTGTTGCTTGTGAGTCTCCCAGCCTTGAAGGCTTTGGCTCTTCATTCATTCATTCCCCTCATTGACAACCTCTGTATCTTACTTTCTTGGGTGTCCTGAACCTGGACCTGACTCTGCCTCTTGGCTTCAGGCTAGTCCATGTCTCAGCATTCCCTAGAAACCCACGTCAGCTGCGTGGACAAAGAAGGTGATACTTTGGGTTGTAAAGATGGAAGCTGATAATGCTGACTGTCAGGAAGGAGTGCAAATTCTGGCTGGACTCCTGTCACTGATTTTCCAGGCAAGAGAATCTTTAATGCTTGTTGGACTGCCCACCAGGGAGAATTCTTTTCTCCACAGTTGGCCGGCTGGGGAGGAAGCCTGGCCCTTTATCTCACTGTGCTCTTTAAAGTTACCAGAGCACAACTGAGATCCTTCAGCTACAGCTCTTCCTTGCAGACTTAGCACCTGGGTTAGGTAAGGGCTCTTGTTACCTGGTTCTTATCAAGTTGTTATCACACTCAGCACAGCACTTGCTTCCTGCTTCCCCAGAGAGAATTTATGGGTTCTGTTTTAGGCTGTTCTGCATGGTTGGAGTTCACCCTCTGCTGCTATCACCCATGTCTTGGGAGAGGAGTGCTGGGCATAATCTCTAGGCACTGCTGTTGTTATTTTATTTACTACCAGTTCATCATTACTGAGAATCATCCCACCTGGAAAGTAAACATGGCCTCACCTGTTCATGGCATAATAACTTTGTACTTAGCTTTCACTCACATGTTGCCTGTTAGCTTTCTTTCTGAAAAGATCAGTGTGCTCTGGGAGCCTGGTGGGATCTGGATCTTATTACTCCCCATGTATGTTTTCATCATCAGGTGCTCGATCCCAGTCCTCCCACTTGTCATCATCCTTTCAGGCTGCTCTCTGTCCTGTTCCACAGTAACTTTGCTTTTGTATTTTTATTCTCCTTACCTAGGCTCACTTCCTCTGTAAAATATAATTCTCTCAGGAGCCATGGATAACCCCAATGTAAAGGCCCAGGATGTTTTAATGCTTGCGAGGAAGTCTCTTCAGATTACAACAGTGTAAAAGAATCCTTTCCCTTTCAGCCTCTTGTTGCTTACTGGATCAATTATTGATTCACTTGTATAATTCACGTCCATACTCAGGTATGTGTTAGTGTAGCTCTGAGACCATGGCTCCCCCTGGAGAAGGATCTGTGTCTGATATTAGCCTCCTTCCTCAGTGTTAATTTAGTGAGGACTAAGTCGAAGGGAGACCTACTGGCTGGAGACCTGCTGCTCCCTCAGTTATTTGGTTCACTGTTTGAGCCCCAGAGCCAAGAGGTGACAGTTACTTTGTTTGATTCTGTTGTATTCTAGTAGACTAATAACCAGTAAAAGTTCCAAAATGTTGTGATGTAGGTCTAAGTGGCAAATACGAGTCTTTGAGTCGTAACCCCTTGTTACAGATGGTTTCCCTGGGTGCTGGATTTGAGTCTGTCCTCCTTCAGTACTGACTTATTTATTTATTTTTTTATCCTCACCCAAGGACATTTTTTGCATTTATATTCAGATAGAGCTGGAGGGAGAGAGGGGGGAAGAGAGAGAGAGAAACATCAATGTGAGAGAGACACATCAGCTGGTTGCCACACACACAACCCCAACCGGGGCTGGGGTCAAACTGCAGCCAAGGTACATGCCCTTAGTGGGAACCAAACCTGGGGCTCTCCGGTCCATGGGCCGATGCTCTAACCGCTGAGCCAAACCGGCCAGGGCAATACTGACTTCTGTGACACTTGGCTCAAGGGGTCTTTTTCTCACCTAACTGCCTTCCTGAAGGAGGCGCCAAAGCAAGGTAGACTTTGCATTATGTTACATCAGGTTGACAACTGCTTAAGTCCCACTCCTCCTCCCCTTTTCCTTTTAAAATCTCCAGGAAGTCTCAGAGTTGGGGGTCAGTACTGGATCAGATGCAGTAGTGAAGTTCGTCAGTCGGAGGTGGGACAGGGTCATAGGCTCAAGAGCTCTACCTCAGGGAGTGTTGAGGCCACATTAACATTCAGGCAGGCTCTCTGAGGTACTAAGAGAACATTGCTCTAAATCCAGGACGATTTCATCCTAAGATGTAAAATGCAGGGGTTCTTGATTAGCAGTGGACTGGCTTTTATTTTTAGTATTTTATTTTTTATAACATATACATATATATTTTAAATATGTTTTTGTTGATTTGAGAGAGAGGAAGGGAGAGGGAGAGAGAGTTAGAAACATCTATTGGCTACCTCCTGCACACCCCCTACTGGGGATTGAGCCCACAACCTGGGCATGTGCCTTGACTAGTAATCGAACAAGTGACCTCTTGGTGCACGGGACAAGGCTTAACCCACTGACCCACACCAGCAGGGCTGGGCTGGCTTTTTAGATGCCATGAAGTAAGTAAACTTTGGGTGATGGGATTGGCCACAGTGAACAAAGACTCCTATGCTTTCAGCTCTTCTTTTTTCTTTTTTTATTGTCGACTATATTACAGATGTCCCTCATTTCCATCCCCTGCGCCACCCTGGCCCCTGCTAGGCCTTTGCCACATTATTGCCTATGTCCATGGGCTACACATATATGCATATACATTCTTTGGTGGATCTCTTCCTGTTTTCCCCATCCTTCTCCCCACTGATATCTGTCAGCTCTTCTTAAATTAGGGCCTTTTATCTCCTTTTTCTGAGTCTAATTACTTGGGGTTGGTTTATGGCTGAAAAATGGACTTTTGTACTTATAGTTTGAAATAAAAACTTTTAAAGTTTTAAATAAAAACTTTTAAAGTTTTAAATAAAAACTTTATTTTGCATAAATAATACCCTTAATCCCAACTTGACCCACATGTAGGATGGTGGTATTATTAAAAGTTTTTATTTTCCCCAAGAGAGTGTTTTTCCTTCATCGAATCCCTAGAGCTTTATTCTGGCTTAGGTTATTGAGTAGTAATACTTTTTACTGTGATGTAAAAATAAATTTTAAAACATGAAGCAGAAAATATTCTTTATAGACTTTCTATAGGAAAAACAAATGTTTATAAACTGTTTATCAGCTGTTTGTTTTTCCTACCTCTAGTTTCATCCATTAATAACTGTCAGAGTTCAAGTTCAGTTCATTGCACAGTATCTGGAAATTTTCCTCACTGCTAATTAGTAAGACTTTGAATCATAAGTGCTGATGGCTAAATGGCACAATTCATTCAAGATAGCTATACTTTAATCGTAGTGCTGCTATACTGGGACATGAAATAAAATTAGAAAAATATTTTATTAAAATATCTTAAATTTTATTAATAAAATTAATTTTAACCCTGAATTAATCTTTATTTTTGTTTCTAAATTCCTCAGCTAGATCTAAATAGATCATGAAATCTACAGAGACTTATTTTAATTCAAAGATCTTTCTGCTTTTATAACTAACCACACTAAAGCTCACATTATCAACCTTAAAAGCAGTGTTATTAAATTACAGAGAATTTATCAGTTCATCTCCAGGGTTAATGGGAGTAGTCTAGGGTCAGCCTTTGTAAAAATGGTAGTATGTTTTGTTAAATGATATGCAGAGGCATGGAGTGATTATCACTTACCTCCCAAGGAATTTCTGGAAAGTCATGTTTTCAAAAAGCAGGACACGGCCCGGCTGGTATGGCTGAGTGGATTGAGCATCGTCCCATGGACTGGGAGGTCCTGGTTCAATTCCCTGTGAGGACACATTCCCAGGTTGCGGGCTTGATCCCTAGTAGGGAGCATGCAGGAGGCAGCCAGTCGATGTTTCTCTCTCACGTTGATGTTTCTCTCTCTCTCTTCTTTACTCTCTCTCTCTAAAAAATCAATAACATATTTCAAAACAAAACAAAAAACCAGACACATTTACAGTTAGATGTTAAGATTAAGATGCATTAAGAAACGATGTGACTTGATGAGTTCACCAAAAAACTACTCTGTCTCTCCAGGTCTCATCAAATTGCCCTTGAAACCCCTTTGCCTCTGATAAGTTTTTCTAGATGGTCTGAATAAGGGAGTATAATTTCTTAGATAGTTTTATAGTTAAATAATTTCTTACAACTCTCTTCAATCCTGAGTAGCAATAAAAGTCTGTATTTATACTATTTACTGTTGGAATAGCTTTCAATTGCTGTATAAAAAATGTAAAGTCTGTTTACTGTTTTACACTTTCTGGTGTATTTTTACATAACACCCTTAATCCCGACTTGACCAACATGTAGAATGGTGGCATTATTATTATTATTATTATTAATATCTCCTCCTCACTGTATAGATGAGGAATATGAGGCTCAGATTGACTAGATAAAATAGAGGTACCTGGAGAACCCAGGAGGTAAACCTAATCTTTAGACTTCACAGTCCCTGTTCCTTCTACTGCTGTATACTGAATACTGTTTAGACTGATTTCTGTGACAAATTCTTAGTGAAGACAGGCATAGCAGTTAGCAGCTAGAATCAGTAGTGGCTTTATTCAGACACAGGAACATGCATATTTTATTGTATGTGTTTATATGTAATATTTGACATTAATGTCAGAATTATAATCAGTACTGC